TTTTGTATAGGTTATTTTAAGTGAAAAATTAATTTCAGCTTCGGACTTCTAAATGCTGGCCATTGCCGCGGTGTAGAGGTGATCAGTAACAATTGATCGCCCCATTCCATAATCCGGAAAATTTGTGCTTGTGGTATCAGGAATCCGGGAATTTTGTTTCGTGGAGTTTAGAATCCTGGACGTTGGAATAAAACGATTTGAATCCGGAATCCAAGTTCCACTGACTAGGAATCCGGAATCGACAGCGCGGAATCCAGAATCCAAGACTTTCTTGTCCTGTGTTTTTGTTTGATTAGTTCAATTCAACAGAGCTCTGCAGCGTCTGGAAATTTCAACTTTCAAGGCTCGAATGCCAGTCAGGCCTTTTCCTATCCCGTTCACAGTCCCTCTATTGACTATTTTGGAATCCCCCATAATACACTCTGTCTGCTCCCCAATTTTGCATAAGTTATTGTCTTCAAATGCTCTTGCGAAAATGTAGTACTCCCAGGAGCATTTGAAAACAATGAATGCAAAATTTGGTGGGAAAACAGAGTGTATTAGGGGGGATTCAATAATAGAGAATTTTCTCTTTAGAGATCGTCGAGCGCTCGCGGAATTAATGATCGCAAGTGCAAGGGGGTCGCGGTCCACGCTCTCTCGTTCGCTTCGCTCGCGTGCTCGTCGATTTACGAGCTTTCTTAATTTAATAGCCGCATTTATGTAGCTAGTTCATATAATGTTTTAGTAGAAAAATCGCAGATATAATGGATATGAGGATTGATTATCAGTGTATGAAGTGTAACGGTAAACAAAAATATTGGGGCAGAATATAAAAACAGTAATTGATTTGCTTTTAGGCTTGACAAAGAAACGCCAGTCTTCCAAGAAAGGCAAAAGGCCGTTATCTTCAAGTAACATTCCAGCTTCAAAATACCCAAGGCTGTTGAAAGATAAAGGTAAGGTTTGTTTTTGCTAATTCTTAAATAAAGGTTGTTTCTTTTTATATGTTCATGTGTATGTACAACTGTCTTAGTGGGGAAGATGCATCGGAAGTAACACAATGTGGATGATTTTGTGTTCCTTTATTGAGGTTTTATAATGCCCGTACGGCTCTGCTTCCGGTTTGAATTTGGGCACTCACAAGGCTTGAGTCGCTCTCATTCATGCTTGGACTAAATTGTACGCTTTTCACGTCTGACCCACTCTCCCAATTTCGAAACGTGCTTCATAACACCCTCAAGCTACAATATGGCCAGTTTAGAATTTTGAGCACATTTTTGGCCCAAAACGTAGTCAAGTCGTGCTACAGTTCTTTGAGTGAGAGATTATGCATGGTCAAGGGTTTGGTTCCTAACTCAGAGTTTTTCGTTTGTTTGTTTGTTTTTTGCATCGCTGCGAGAGGCGCAGCACAAAAACGTTTCCTCCTGGTTTATTTGTTTGTTCTCAGTCAAGGAATTTCCCATCTGAAGTTTATTAACTCTGACAAGATAAACAAAGCCTTCCTGAGATTTATAACATTTGCCTATAGACTTTAATGGATCACCAATGATGTGTAACAAAAGCCAAATCTTTAAAGCGACGTTATTTTACAAAGAACGCGTTTTACGTGTAAATGTGGGAGGAGGGTAAAAAAAACATACAAACATAAGTTTTGTAGGGAATTAGCTGGGGAGTGTATGGGCAAAAATAATTGGATCATCACTAGTCTGGTTTAATTTTCAGGCTCAAAAAAGGGGAAAAGGCCTTTGTCACCAGGTAGCACTTCAGTATCAAAAGTCCCAAAATGTTTGGGAGATGAAGGTAAAGTTTGTTTATGCATGATAAAGTTTATAACCATTTCAGTACTGAAAGCAACATAGGAAGTAGAAAAATTTGCATGGACGAACTTGTGTTCTTAAGATTTTTTGTACCCCTACCACACCCCTCCCCCCTCCTGCTTTAGAGATGGATACTCAAGATGCTGGAGTCAATCTTATCTGTTTAATAGCAAAACTTAAACTTCTCAAGTTTGATACACGCTTTCTCTATTTTGAGCGTGCTTCATATTCCGCAAAGTTGAACTTGGTGAGTACAGAATTTTTTGTTCGCATTTTGGCATACTTCCTCTTTGTCAAACTGTAGTCAAGTCCTGTTCCTGTCAATTCCTTGTGAGATGGTTTATGGTGAAGGGATTTAGTTCTGCCAAGGTAGTGTGGCAAAACACAATGATGCTTTTCTGGTTTGATTGTTTGTTTTGAAATAATTTTACGTGGTAAATAGGCCTCAGGAATTCAGAAGCTGAAGTATATTAATTCTTTCACGCCTAGACCGAGTTATGGCGAGAAGATTTGTCATTCAAAGATTTGAATCTATGAACGAATTCCTATGTTGCTACCACTTAAATGAAGTCTCTGTGGTAGAACTTTTCCTCAGTGATATTTATTTCCTGGGGTTTCACTAAAAAGAAATCTGGAATCTTTGTGAGTTTTCCCTTTTCCGCTCTTAGGAGTGAAAGGCAGTTAAGTCTGTCGATCCTTTTTTATGTAAATGCAGGCAGGAGTGGCTGGAAATTGATTCCTTTTAAAACAAATAATGAAGTTTGTTTCTTAGTGGTGCTACGTCGGCGCGTGAGTGAAATACACAAAATTGGTTTTATCAACTGAGTCGTCATAATTAAATTGGCCACCGTGAAGAGGTTAAAAAGCTACGTTCGGTTTCGAGAGCTAGCCCCTTGTTAATTGTTTTCGTTATTCAACATTTTTTTGAAGGCCTATCTGTAATGAAAATACAGTCAAACCTCAATGTGCAAGCACCTCTCATAAGTGACCACCACTCCAAAACACCAAACGGCGATCACCACTTGTAAGCGTCCGCGACCACTTGTTAGGGCCGACGGTTTTATAATTTTTTGTTGTTATTGTTGTTTTTAACCTCTCGTAAGCGACTACTCGATGCATGGTCTAATCTCTTTGTTCGCTGTGTGTACTATGACACTCAGTGTACATTGTATATGAAGAACTTTTAGCGACAACATAAAACTACACATACAGTAACTAAGAAATTACATGCAAAGCATTATCGTCTATAAAATACCTGAGTCCGGACCGTTTCTCGAAAGAGTTCCCTGTTGTTCGGTTCTTGTTAGTGACCACGTCCCCTAATAGACCTTCAACACTTAACATTTTGGGTCAGTAGTTGCTTATAGGAGGTTTGACTGTATTTGATTTATGTACAACTGAACATCCAGGAAGAGAAAACAAAAACATTGACGTCGGCGAAGACTTCAAAGTAACGTATTATTTCAACTCCCTGTAAGTACTCAATAGGGCCATTTATACGAGGAAAAATAAGACGCGAACTGTACCATTTATACGAGCATGTCTTATCTAATAAGACGCGTCTTAGCTAAGCCGCCTCTTATATTAGACGAAATGTGCCGTTTATACGGAAAAGTCGCGTCTTATGTAAGACGCGTCTTATTTTTCCTCGCATAAATGGCCCTAATGTTAAGAAAGTTTACAGACAATGTATGGAACAAAGGGAGGACAACATTTTACAGATACCCCGTTCGTAGCGTCAAATGCTCTTGTTTATGGTTACTGACAGATATTTTCCATCTCCTTGTTTCCAACAGGTACGGACAGCTTGGTTCTTGTGAAATTGTTAAAAAAGGAATACAACAGGCGCTCGCATTTAAGACCACTTCTTTGGGATAGCACCATCCAGTTGCCCATAGAACAAGTCTACACAAGACTGAAAATCGTTTCAAGAGGAAAATTGGCCATCCAGATGGAAGGCGACGAGGTGAATGTGTTCGACATTTTCAAAGCTCCTGGCATTGGTGAGGATGTTATGACGATAGTAGAGGGGAGTCCTGGAATCGGTAAAACTACGTTTTGCCTCAAACTTGCTTATGACTGGGCTCATGGAAATATTCCATCTGAGTGCTCCTTTCCTAAATTTGAATTCGTGTTTCTCCTCAAATGTCGTGACATTGATGGAGATATAATGGAATCTATCAGTGAACAACTTTTGCCCAGAGATATGGAGAAGTCTGTGGAGAAGTTGTTGCAGTTGATGAAGGACATTCGTAACCAGGAGAGACTGATGTTAATCATTTTGGATGGATTGGATTAGCTACCTGAAAAATCACGGCACCATGTAGATGAGCTGCTTGAAAGAAGAATTTTAGGATTTTGTTATGTCTTGGCTACGACACGACAAGAAAGAGGAATCGAAGTACGGAAAAGCTTTGTCTTTGACATTCACTTAGAAATCAAAGGGTACACGGAAAGTGATTCTATTGAGTACGTCAGAAGACACTTTGAAACGATTGATCAGGGAAGAGGCTTATTGAGGAAATGGAACAGAACACCTTTTTACATGCACTTCGAAGTAACCCGTTAAATTTACTTCTCCTTTGTGTTGTTTATGAGGACTATGAGGGAAAATTGCCAACTTCCCAGACGGAACTTTACCAAGTTATTGTCCAATGTCTTTTGAGACGATACTGTGCAAAACACAGTCTGGCGGTACCGAAAGATAGGAACACTTTACAGAAACGTTTTGAAGAGGATGTTCTTGCCCTCGGACAGCTGGCTTGGACGTGCCTGCTGAATGATCGTCAGTCTTTTTCCGAAGGAGAACTGGCAGAACGTGAAGTAAAAAATCAGAACTTGGTAGCCCGCAAAATAGGCGTTCTTTACATGGAAGAAAGTCGGAAGAGGATTAACCCACAACACGAGTACTGGTTTCTTCACAAGACCTTCCAAGAATATTTGGCTGCTGCTTTTATCACGCACAAGCTACTGAGAGGAGAGTTTAATGTATTTGAGTACACGACGTTTAACGATTTGGTCGGAAAATACCCGGAAGTTTTTCTTTTTGTTTCTGGTATGCTGGGCGAGAAAGCAACCGTGTAATTCACTCAGATTGGTGAGACGTTAAAGAAGAATGGATGGGACTGGGACTGGGAATGCAGCGAGCAGGCGGCAACTTTCTTTGTGAAAAGCTTTAGTGAAACTGGACACGCTGAACAAATGGCAACTACTCTTTGTGGCGTTATGCCTTTTTCAGAAAGCGTGTTTCTTAGTGACGGTAACGATACTGATATTTCCTTTGCTAAGGTTTTAATAGCGTGCGAAAGCTTTTTAAACTTACAGACTCCTGTTCAACTGGAAGCTGCTTTTGACATGAACGACATGGGACGTGACGTTGTAATACGTTGTATAGAATCCTTCTCGAAGCTTGAATCTGTTAGCCTTAAATTTTCCTATCCCCCGCTGAACTCGAGGGAAGCAGATCGTCTTCGTAAGTGGTTATCTGTAAGCAAGAGTTTGTTAGAGTTTACTGTCAAATTGCAAGGGGATGACGAAAACGGTGTCGTGCCTGTTCTACTATGCAATGGGTTAGCCTCATGCAAAACGCTAAGAAAAATTAAGTTTTCAGTGTCTGGATATATTAGCGAGGCTTATATCAATGCTATTGAAACTGGATTGTCTCCTAACACTCCGCTGACGTATGCGGTTACTCTCGAGATTTACGGCCCAGTGAGTTTTTCTGCGATCCATGCGTTACACAAACTATTAACGAACAAATCTTTGATATCTCTTTCACTTCAAATTTGTGGAGATGTGACGGATGTATTAGCTGGTGCTGTCAGTGAAGCACTCGCAAGGCAGACAGTTCTAAAATTTATTGATTTGTGCCTTGGTGGAAAGCTGAGTTCTGCTGGTGCCAGTTCACTGAAACAAGGACTGTTGAAAAACAGTTCTTTAAATCATATCAAAGTGGTTGGCTATGGTGAGCGTCCTGATAACTGGCAGTCTGTTGTGGAAACCCTGTGTTCGACAGAGAAGTCCCCAGTTAGCTGTGCCTTTCATCCAAACACCTTGGACAACATAGGGCATGATGACGTTGGTCTTGTTTTAGCTGAAAAGGCATTGGTTCCAAAGCAGCACCTGGCTGTAAACGTTTGGGGAAAACTGAGTTGTGAAGGGGCAGATGCTCTATGTGAAGTCTTGATACGCTCTTCCCCTGCTTTTAAGCTTCTGACGTTAAACGTGCATGGAAACGTGACTGAAGACGTCGCTAATTCTGTTGCAAGATGCCTGAAAGGTTGCAACATACTATTTTCATTTTCCATCAATATCTGGGGCAATTTGACACCAGAGGGAGAAACAATTCTTTCCGAACTTTCAAAGAGCAACCTTCGCGTTCATTTCAATGTACACCACGTGCATTTAGCTTCAGAAGAATCGAACCAGGTGCTTGATATCTCTATCGAAAATCCTGCGGCATCGAGAGCGTTTTTTGCTAAAGTGAAAGAAACAAGAAAGGAAAAGGTTAGTCTTACAATCAACAACAACAGTGGTGAAATTAGGGAATGGACACATCATCTAGCTGATGCTTTGGCAGAAAACACATCGCTTACTTCTATTAATCTTACAGTAAACAGCTGCTTGACGGATGGTCTTGGGGAATGTTTATTGCAAAGTACTTCTATAAAATCTCTTAGTCTCACAATCAACTCTAGTATCATACGTGGTTTGCTGTGTAAACTGGGTGCCTGCTTTGCCAAAATGGCTTTTCTAACTACACTTAGCCTGGAAATAAACGACTACAGCGACGAAAAAGATTTTTTTAGTGGGAATGAACTTAAAAACGTGTTGGTGTCAATCAAATCATTATCTACCCTTTCTGTTGCAGTCCATGGTAGTAGCTTGGATCCATTCTGGAATAGAGTTTTGGATGACTGTTTGCAAGAGTGTACATCACTAAATAATCTTAGCTGCGCGGGTGACATGCCTTACTTTGGCGACGGTTTAGCTGTAACAACCTCATTAAAGACACTCAATATCACAATCAACGTCGATTTTCATCTATGGGGTTATGACTTAGATCATCTTACAGACTTCAGTAAAGGTTTGTTATCAAACTGGTCATTAACTACACTTACAGTAACTGTGTCGCTGACATTAATGGATGCACTGGAAGTTGATTCTCTGGGGGACATGACTTTAAAAGAAGGGTTGTCGGAAAACAGGTCTATAACTACATTTAATCTCACAATAAATGAAATCGGCGAAGGCATATCGGATATAGACAAGATTTTCATAGCACTTCAAGTCTTTGAAGGTTTGGCGCAAAACACATCAATAACCACATTCAACCTTACACTTAACAGTAGCAGAGAAGTGAGTGATGACTGGTTACCAGACCTTTGCGACGCTGTGAACAAAAACTCTTCGTTGACAACTCTGAGATTGAAAGTGAACTACCATTGTGCTACTAGTGAAAGTCAGTTATATGACTTTAGTAAACTTTTGTCAGAAAGCAGATCATTATCCATTCTTGAACTCGAGGTTAGTTTTTATGGAAAAGAGAACGAGGCTCAAAGGTTTTATTCAGAAGCCGAATGTAATTAAGATTCGTGGACTTCAAGCAGGAAAAAAATGCATGTTTCAAAAGAAATGTGTTCACAATGGAAATGTGGCTTAAATAAGAAGACATGAGAACTTGTGCTATACTGAGACGCTCTGTAACGTCGGGTTTTCTTTCAGGGAATCTTGAAGAGAGATTCAGTTCTATTTCCCAGGCCTGCTTTTTCTTGCGTGTTTGCTAAACCAATAGACGACCACCTGCTTTTTAACTTAAGCAAGGACGTTTTTGAGCGATACACGTCAACCGGAAGTGGCCGATCTGCATTACTGGGCAACAATTTTTCCCAGCTTTTCTGGCAGTTCGTCTCGGTAAGTGTAAAGATACTTAGCGAGACAATTTGATAGCGTCAAGGAATACCGTAAAATTCCGAAAATAAGCCCCGGGCTTATATTTTTCCAAGGCCCTTTTTGAGGGGCTTATTTTTGGAGGGGCTTATCAAGGGGGGGAAATTTGGGTTTCAAAATCGATTGGGCTAGCCTTATAGTTGATAGTAAACTTACCGTTTTTGCTTTCTTTTACTTCGTATTTGAGGGCAATATTTGGATGGGCGATTTAACGGAGGGTTTTTTGCATTACCGGTTTGGGGGGCTTATACATGGAGGGGCTTATTTTCGGAATTTTACGGTATTAAAAGGGATAGGCCTCACTTCCGGTTGACGTGTGTCATCCAGAAATAGGGAACTTAAGAACCACGACGACGACTTTGTCGACGACGACCGGAAGTGAGATACCGTGCACTGCGCAAGCGCGGTTAACAAATTTCGTCGTCGTAGTGACGTCGACGACGACGCCAAACACAGTATAATCACGTCGTCCTGTAATCCACTAGCTTCGGCAGGTATGACTCCCCGTTTTCAAGCGATTTTTCAAGGGATTTGTAGTTTTTCACCTCGTAAATCCAGGTATCCTTTCTTTTTTCTCCTAACAAGCGATGTTGATTGAAAATTTGAATGATGAATTGTGTTTACTTCGAAGACAACACTGAGCTGTGCAGGCCGAGCGAGCGAACTCGTAAGTGACAAATTTATTTGTACGTATTTAGGTCAGGCAAATCATAAATCTTTTATATAGAGGAAACGAACTTTATATGGAAAACAGCTATCGCATCGGAATGTCTCTTTTTCCAAATCTTAATTCTGACAGACACTCGGACTCGGTCATGTCATTCAGGTTGAATCGTCCGGAAAGCAGAGATTTTTCCATTCGAAAAGGTCAGACAACACTAAAAATTCTTCATCGTCAATGAAAGTAGACGTACGGCTTATAAAATAAGATCTTGCATCGTCTTAAAAGACGCCTTTGCGGAAAAAACTTTGTTGCGAACGAACATCACAGTTGTACTACTTCTACATGTTTGTTTACATTCAGTGTCGTCGTCGTCGACCTACCGATCGACTGCATCTTAAGTTTCCTTTTTCCCGCCGAAACTGACGTTCTCGTTCTAGTCCTTTCCCAGTCAACAGACGTCGTCGTCGTGAACTTCGTCGTGGTTCTTAAGTTCTCTAATGTCTTAGCTTCAGCTCCTCCTGCGGAAGCCCGGCCTGAAGTCCGGAATAGTCACACTGTGTCTGAACCTTAAACAAATGCTGAGTGTCTTTATGACTCATTACCAGCACGCCTGTTGGTCTATACAGCATAGTTTGAACATAACTTCATATTTGCTTGGGTGCTTGCCATTTACACAAACCACCCGGGGGAAATATTGTGCGTCAACACTTAACTATAAAATTCGACGTGGTTGGAGAACGACCCGCTACAATGTATATCCAAATCATCTAAACAGACGTAAAAGAGTAGAGAAATTGCATCTCCTCAAATCCCAGCCCATGGCACGAGCCGTTTGATTTTTCAGGCAGAATTTCCGGATTTCCTGTGTAAATGGTAAGAACCCCTTGTTTTGAGAGAATCAAAGGTAAGGTACTCGGTAGTGCGGTAGAATTACGGTCAAGTCGCCCGAAAGTCATCTCGCCCGAAACCAGAGTCATGTCGCCCGAAATTTCATGATGCTCAAAAAGATCCTAAAATCTAAACTAAAAGAGAATTCGCGCGGTATACTGTTAATTTGTGTCTTCATGTTGAAATTTTAACATTGTTTTTAGTCTTTCATACTCGATTCAGGCTGAAGTTCCATTTCATAGTAAAGTTTTTTTTTGTTTTCATTGGGTATCTTGAAAGCTAAGGTTAATACAACATGAGTTACCAGCAATTTTAGAGTTTGATAAATATCGTAACTGATGATTGACTTGCACGCCATCTGGTCCAGTGTGACCAAGGTTAATACAACATGAGTTACCAGTAGTTTTAATGTTTGATAAATATCGTAACTGATGATTGACTTGTACGCCATCTGGTCCAGTGTGACCAAGGTTAATACAACATGAGTTACTAGTAGTTTTTTAGTTTGATAAATATCGTAGTAACTGATGATTGACTTGTACGCCATCTGGTCCAGTGTGACCAAGGTTAATACAACATGAGTTACTAGTAGTTTTTTAGTTTGATAAATATCGTAACTGATGATTGACTTGTACGCCATCTGGTCCAGTGTGACCAAGGTTAATACAACGTGAGTTACTAGTAGTTTTAGAGTTTGATAAATATTGTAACTGATGAGTGACTTGTACGCCATCTGGTCCAGTGTGACCAAGGTTAATACAACATGAGTTACCAGTAGTTTTAGAGTTTGATAAATATCGTAACTGATGATTGACTTGTACGTCATCTGGTCCAGTGAGACTAAGGTTAACACAACATGAGTTACTAGTAGTTTTAGAGTTTCATAAATAATTGTAACTGATTCTTGTGACTTGTGCGTCATTTGGTCCAATACAACATTAATTGCTAGTTGTTTGATTTTAGAGTTTGATGAAATTAATGTTTTAATTGAAAATTATTAGGGAACTTAAAGCAACGAGAACGTTGACGTATTGAAAGTCAAAACTGACAACCGGAAGTTGATACTTCCTGCCTTTCAGCGCTCTAAACAAAGGCATTAGATTCATTGTGTGCCACAGAAGCGTTCCATCAAGCGAGACTTCCGGTTGCTATTTATGACGTCCGTTACGTCAACATTCTCGTTGCTTTTAAAGTTCGCTTTCACTTGGACTTAAAACTCAGCGAGGCCAAGTTTGATAGAAATGAAAACTTTGAATGTTTTCCATTAGAGGAAATTGTACTTTTATGAAGTTTGTATGATAATGACAAATTAATGGGGAAAAAAATGTAATTTAGTTTCGAAGAACGTACGTTTAATTATAATGTAGTGAGCTTAATATTGTCCAGTCGAGGTCGACTAGTCTGAATCAACTGCATCTGGTTTGTGGAGGCAATGAACGTTTGCTACAAGCAAGTAAAAGAGAACAATGCTTACTATTTTTAGCATTAAACGCAACATGTTTCGTTATTCAGAATTGTATACATGTAGTTACGTTTTTAACTAAATTAAAGAAATTTGCAAAGTACAAATGCTGAGAAATTTCTTGTTAATGGAGAGCGTTTTCACTCACGTGGTCAGTACCTTTTGTTGAACAAAAGAAAATTTGTGCAACAAAAGGTTCAACTCCCACAGGATTCGTTTGAGATGTAAACATAGCCGCCATTTCACTTTTTTAGGACACCAATTTGTCCGACGTGACGTTATTTGAAAACGCCCTTTAGGTTATTTCTAAATTGTCAGCGCAACCTTGAAAGACCCCTCTTAAATAGCTTGAGGTCAAATTCCGTGTGGGGAGTTAAATTCGTGCGCCTCGACTACAAGCTAGCAAACGTTGCTTTTGGGGGAGTCACCTTCCTACTAGACTAAAACCCCTGAATTGTCTTGAAAATGTTGAGAAACAATGCGCAAAAGTCGTATTAAGAGCCCAGTGGTTAGTAACGGTGGGGGATAGTTGGGAAGTCAAGAAGAGGGCGGACCGCTCACTGGTGCATTGCAAGACACACTTTGGTCAAAATCCACAAATATCCGACATCTTTTTCTTTCTGAAACACTTTTTTGTGATTTCGTGCTCAGATCTCAGTCTTACGCCGTGGGAGATCTTGGTACAGGATTACCTCCCCTGCTCACTCCTTCTCTCGATTATTTATGAATACCTTTTGTTTTGTCACAATGAAAGCTGCATTGTTCTTGTCTCAAACCATTAGTGCTATCAAATGTTTTTCAAGGAGGGAGCTTGTCTGCTTCCATTCAAAATTACAATTGTTCCCTGAAGAATCCGGCGTTGATGGACAAAATTATGTGGTTAGTCAGAGTTAAAGTCAGTGATTCTCCTCAGATTTACACCTGCCTTCTCCACCCTCTAAGTATTAAATTTAACCAACAGATATTACGTTTGTATGGTTAATTAGATTTTGTGTGTAGATTAAAAACATAGAACTTAAGTTGAATCTGTAGTATGAAGGCCGTGGTTTGTCCTGTTAAAGTCACTTGAACTAGGTTAGATTTCCTAGGATGCTTTTCCACTTTCCTTTCCCAAACAAGAAATTATTCCCTTCCAGAAACTATCAGGGGAATGGGTACAAGCTTACGTCGCAACGATTTTTGGGATCGATTGGGTGGACAAGCGTTACCCACGATTGGTTAATGGTTGCCTTGGATACCATCGACCAATAGAAAACTAGCAAACGTTCAACCAAAGGATCCCAGAAATTGTTGCACCGAGAGCTTGTACCCATTCCCCTAATAGTTTCTGGAGTGGGGAATTACGGTGACGTGAATAACTTAAAACCCACGACTTGTTCAGCACAATTGATTGTTGGGTTGGAGGCCCGGGTTCAAACGAGGCCGGACCATCGAGACGGGTTATTTAAACAGGGGTGATATCCCACTGGATGTGCACGAAAAATCGTTGCCTCAGCTCAGATGGTCGTGTTTATGAGCCTGTGATGCTGAGGCGTTGCATTGTATTCAACACCCCTCATTCTGAATAGCGGTAATAGATTGGCACTAGCTTACGATCGAGGCTCGTACATCTTATGAACAATAGAATTCATTCTATTTAGAAGGATGCGTAAATGAAGTCTCTCTGCTTTGCGAAAAGAGCTAGGAACCTAGCCCTGTTTGTGTGGTCTAGTTGTCATTGTGGGTGTCAACGAGAAGGGACGGGTGGGTGTCCTGTTTCATCATTTGCCACTTTGGTAAAAACTCAAAAGAAGCGATAATTAGAACATGACGACTTAATTTCTCACACAACCCTGCTACAATACGTAAAAAACCCTCGCTTACAACATAACCCTTCAGATTCTGTCATCATCTGTACTCACAAGGCTCAGTTCTTGACCTTCTACAGTTTACCGTGAACAATAACATACCAGATCGTTTGGTCTTTTTAAACACTGTCACATT